ACAGTGGTGAAGTAAGCCCTGCCCCACCCACCTGCCAGTGAGTCACCTAAGCCTAGCTAAGCCGTGGAACCCAAGCTCCTTTGCTCAGTATATCTGGGGCTTCGTTTGAGCACAGCAAGAGCTAGAGAACATTAGGGACCCCAGCATGGGCAAGTGAGGTAGAAGAGATATGACTCCATCTGAGCTGGTTTCCAGGTTCCACTCCAAACTGATAGCACTACCATCAGAGCTGCTATCTCCCTTGCCCCAAACTACATTCTTTATCCCTACCTCATTACTCCCCACTGACCCATCTCCATTCCATCATCCCACCCCTTCCCCAAGAGCCCTCGAACCACACTCCCCATTATCTGTAACTACCAGAGTTTCCATCACTACCTTGAAGACCTCATCCTTCACAGCCCCTCTCTAGGTGCCTCCCAGAATTGCCCTAGAGAACCTATTTCTAACCCCAGCCTCTCAAACCCCATCTCCATTCATCCTCAGCCCATCATCCTTCCTCAGAAGATCCTTCACAGGAAAGGTGAGACTTGATCTTGGTTAACATTTCATGATCAGAGTGGACTGATTTACACAACTATTCCCTGTTTTGAAAGGATCTAGTCAGCTTGAGGACTAAGGTGTGCCTGACCCAAGCCATGGTATTTTCAATAACCTTGTATGCATGCAAAAGCTGGACAGTGAATAAGGAAAACTGTAGAAGAATTGATGCTTTTGAGTTTTGGTGTTGGAGGAGAATATTGAAAGTGCCATGGGCTTCCAAAAGAACCAATAGATCTGTTTGGAAGAAATGCAGCCAGAGTGCTCCTTGGAGGCCAAGATGGCTAAACTTCGTCTCTCATGCTTTGGATATATTGTCAGGAGGGACCAGTCGCTGGAGAAGGATATCCTGTTTGGTAAGGTGGAGGGTCAGAGAAAAAGAGGAAGACCCCCAATGAGATGGATTGGCCAAGTGGAAGCATCGATGGACTCCAGCGTGGTAACAGTAGTGAGGTTGGCCCAGGATCAGGCAGTGTTTCATTCTGCTGTACATAAGGTCACTATGGGTCGGTACCGATTTGATGGCACCTAACAATAACAAGTCTTTCTGAGGGTTAAGGAAATACTTACATATATCCTAGCAGGTAATTGGCTATGTCTACAGTCTCTTTCCCTCTGCCCTCAGCTGCCCCCACACTCAGAATAGAGTCCTAGGTGACAGAACTTGTACTTGTGAGCAAAAATCTCTGGACTCTCTAGGCCTACCAGATGAGTGCTGAAGCCTATCTATCCCTCACACATATTCACACAGAATTACATATATATGTGCACATAATCCTGTAAACATACACATGAAAAAGTTATTATAAAGTCCATTTCAACTCACGGCAACCCCATGTGTTACAGAGTAGACTGCTCCATAGGGTTACCTTGACTGCAGTCATTATGAAAACATATTGCCAGGCCTTTCTTTCACAGCACCACTGGGGGGATTCCATCATTAACCTTTAGCCACTCAAAGACCTACACACATACAACTACTATGTATACATTATAGATATTACACAGTATCACATATATGTTGTTAGGTGTCATCAAGTTGATTCCAACTCATAATGATCCCATGTGACAGAGCAGAACTGTTCGTTAGAATTTTTCTGGTGATAATCTTTATGAATGCAGATCACCAGGTATTTCTCCCTGAGAGCTGTTGGGTGGATCTGAATCGCCAGCCTTTGAGTTAACAGCAGCTGACCATTTGCACCACCTGAGCTACCTATCACTTACTTATTTGTTGTTAAGTGTGGGTCAGTTCTGACTCACAGAGACACTGTATAAGGCTTTTCGTTGACCTTCGTTAGCAGTCCGGAGTGTACCCTACAGCGCCACACAACTACACATAAATGAATACAAATCAAAGCAAGTTTTTATTCAGCCTTTTCCAGAGTCAGTTAACTGTATCAAATTAAACAGGTGTCAAAACCCCTATCCCTGATCTTACGCCCATAACCAGAAATATCCACCAGATGGCACTCTTTCGCCACTTCCCGTATTCCCAAACGCCGCCAGAGGTGTCGCCGAAGATACAGTCTCTTTCTGCCCTTGCACAAGGCTTGAGGAGTCAGGTGCACCCCAGGAGGCCTCTAGGCGAATGCGGTGGGTGTGTTCTCGGTCCCCTAAGCTTGCAGGCTCAGCCCTCTCTAAATTTGTGTTCGTTCTCGCCGCTTCCAGGCTTCGGTTGGTGGGGCGGCCTCTCCCTAGAGAAGTCTGCTCAAATCGAGCCCGGTCACCAACAAGCCAGGGTTAGCTTCTGTTGAGGCCAAGGCGGCTCAAAGGGCCTTCTTCCAAGCCTTCGTAGTAAAGAGCAGCCAGCCACACCTGTCCCACTCCCCACGGCGGCCCCAGGAGGGAGTCAGGGTCATTTGCACACAATAGGCACCCCTATACCTGTACACATACATTTCCATCTGAAGCCCAGATGGGGTCAATCCGAAGTAGGGAGAACAACCGGGACCTAGGACCTGGGAGTCTGGACTTAGCAGAGGACTGACCTTGGCTAACCCTTTCTGTCCAGGTCGGGTCTGGACTCCAGATCGCCAGTTGAGAGCCCAAAGGAAGCGCATTCGCTGCATCTTAAGCAAAGGATTTAGAATCCCTGAGATGGAGAAAGTCATGTGGGTAGAGTTTATCCCATACCCAGTCCTGGACCACTCTGAGCTGGCTTCCCTGGAACCTTACATCTCCGAACCTTACATCTCGGTGTGAGCAACCTAGGACGACAGACGTGATGAAGGCTTGAACTCCGGCGGGAGGCGAAGCCCGAAGCTCTGTTGGCAACTCGGGTTCCCCCGCCCCCTCCTCCCCTGGGAGCGGCGGGAAATTATTTATTAAAACGCCGCCCGCGCTCTCATTTACTTGCGGTGAATAATCCTCGGCATCTCAGCGTGTTTATTAAACCTTTCCCGTCCCCGCGCCCGCATTACTTTAATAATAAATCGCGTGTCACTTTCCAGCGACGTTATTAAAGCCCGTCCGCTGAGCAGAGGCGGGGGAGGGGGGCAGCAAGGGTTCCTTTCATTCCCAGCTGCGGGGCCTGAACCAGCAGAACCACGGAGGGAGAAACTGAGGCCGCAAGGAGGCGAGGAGCCTGCACCGGAACATCCTACAACTTGTGGAAATACAATCGAGGAGTCGGATCTCCGGGCCGAGTATGCCTGTCTCAAGCCTAGAGTGGGATTAGTGCTTGGAGCCGCGGCTCTATAGGTGGCTGTGGGTGGATCATTTAGCCCACCAGAGGGCGCCAACTAGCCCAAATGGGCTAGAGCCCAGGGTGAAGAACAGGCCATTCAGAATCTGAGTCTCCGAGTATCGGCAGAACACAAAACAGATCTAAGTTTTCTTTTACTAAGTGCAGAACTGGTCGGGACGCATAACATCACACATAACCCCCACACACACACATCCCCTCTCACATACATACACACACTCGGTACACTCCGGCTCCTGCTTCTGTGGTCACTTTGGAATTCTTTCTAAGTGACCAACCTGAGCACACGTCATATGTGGACTGGTATCAGAGCTCTGCAGGAAGAACTGTCCTCAACCTAAGCAGCTGGAGGAGCCATGTGGGTCTGCGGGAGGGGTGGCCAAGCCCCAGCATGGGGACTCCAGATCAGAACCCTCCGCAGGAGACCTGGTTCCCTGCGGAGGGCCCAGAGAATAAGCTTAGATGCCAAGCCACAAAGATCCGTCTTGTGGTGGCGCCAGGCTCGGGGAGGAGCCTAGGCGCGTGGGAGCCGGTCACCATCCACACACAGTGTCTTGGCCTGACTGACTTACATTTTCATGCATTTCTTCAATAAACATTTCCCCAACACTGCGCCTCATGAGTGCCACAGGGCTAATAAGGAGAGTGTGGGGAGAAATTTGGGGAACCACAAATTGTAAGAGACCACCTCTACTCCCTAGTCCCAACCCATCCTCACCCCGCCAGCCATGTCTCACCCAGTCTGGGCAAATGAAGAAAGAGGGTTACCAAGGCTTTGTCAGAATTTAACTGGGAAATGAGTGGATTCCTTGATGGGATCTGGGGAAGGGTGCAGCTCATAAAAGTGGTCGAATTTCTCCCCTCCTTCACCCAGGTTTTTTCTCATATTGGAGCACTTCCCAAGTAGTCCTGCCCCGCCCCCTGCCTGGAGAAGGAGCAACTGATAGGAACTGAGGGCCCTTCTACACCAGCCCTAATGGAGAGCAGACTGGCAGGATACCCCCTTCCTGCCAGATGGCTTCAGCCTCCCTCCCTAGAGAGAAGGGTAGATGGGAGTTCAAGGCTTCTTTCTGTACATCTGGCAGGCATGTGCTTAGACAGCAAGACCTGCAGCTTCTGGAAGCCAAGTTCCTTGTGTGGAAATGTGGGTTTCATGTACACATTTGCAGGAATTTTTTGTGCATCTTGATTTTTCCATTTATTTGGAAATTTTTATTGAATCCCTAGTGTATGCCTCATTCTGGGCTAGGCATTGTCAAACACAGACTGTATGAGACCTAATGCTGGCCTCATGGAGATTTCAGAAGGACAGGGAAAATCAATGAAGACCAAATGCTCATCATGCCCCGCTGCGCTCTCCTGAACAGCACACACTGACACACAGAGGACTGCAGTTTGTAAGTACCACTAGGACTTAGGAGGGTGGGGAGACTGTTGGAAGGTGAGTTTTGAGCAAGAGTAATGAGACTAGGCAAGAGCTGGGGACCAGGAAAATAACAACAGGGACAAGGATTTGTGTAGGAGAGCAGTTAGGAGAGGCTGGCTGGACTGGGCTGGAGGGAGTGCTACCAGAAGGAGGTGGAGGTGTCTGCACCGCTTTATGTCTGTCTGCTCCAGCCTCCAGTGTGCATCTACTCCAGCCTGGGACCAGCAGGCAACTGGTGCCTTCCATTTGATTGGTCCACCTAGAGACTATCCTGGCCAGGACATCTCCTGTGAACCCCTCAGAAAGCCAGGCGCCAGGACTCTGGACCTAGTAGTACTCCACCTCTTCACTCTCAGGCTCCTCCTCAGGAAGCGCACTCATGGAGCGAAGCTGGGGGATGTCTGTGGAATTCAGCTGCTCTGCAAACACATGTGGGTAAAGGAGAAAGCTGTTGGTGGTCACATTTCCCAACGGGAAAATCATGCTTGTATGTGCACACTCACACACATTAATGAGCCCTAATCCACTACCAACCGACCAGCCCCAAATTCAGGACTCCCCCTTACCCGGTGTGAGCATTGTCAGGCTAGCCTGGGCCTCCACCTGTCCCCGGGCATTGTGGGCAAGACAGCGATAAGTACCCTCATCACTGAGACGCACAGCCTGGATCTGCAGCCAGCCTGTCACTTCAAACCTCTGGGGTCCCCCCCTAAACTGGAGCCAGAGAAGGAGTCAGCAGGGTCCTTCAAGAGAAATACTGGACTATCAGAGGGAGGTCTATTTTCCCTGGCCCTACCTGCACAGAGATGTGGGGGTCATCTCCTGGCAGTTGGATGTCCAGGCCATCTTTCCTCCATTCAATGGAAGCCATAGGGTAGGCAAAAACTTCACAGCCAAAGATCACGTCCTGTCCCATCACAGTCCAAATGTCATATGGGTGTGACACGATTTGAGGCTCTGGGGATGGAAGTGGCCGGCCTGAGAACAGGATAGCACATCCAGCCCAGCAAAGACCAGATACAGAAACCAATGCAGACATGTTTGTGGGGACATATATATTGAGGTACATATGCAGCCACACACATACTCAAATAGGCACACACAAATATTGATTCAGGTACACACAGGGTACAAAAGCAGATAGTGTGCATGCAAAAACACACCCAGAGTCACACGGAGACCATACACAACCAAGCACACAGACCCACATCTCAGCTTGGCAGCAACACTCTGTCCCTGACTGCTCCCCTGTCCTCATTCCACCCTGAAGTTCCCCATCCTGCCTGGCTGGTAAATGACACCTCCCTTCCATCCCCCTCCCCCCTTTCTAACCAGGTCTGGTTTCCAAAGCCCAGAAGAGCAGTCCCGTCCCCACCCCACCCTCTGGAGGGTCCACGTGGCAAAGACAGAGAATCTGAAACCCAGTCTGGGTGGCTGGCAGGAAGCCTGGAGGAAGAAGAAAGAAAGGGAAAGTGTTGGGACCCCCACTAGGTGTTTGCTTTCCTGACTGTCCCAGCCAAGCCAGATCAGCGGGAGCACTAGCTCAGAAAGTGAAAGAAAACGTGAGGCCAGAATGGCCCTCACCCCCTATATGTGCAGAAGCAGGCAGACAGGACACTGAGGTTGCTCTCCAAATCTATCCAAACAAAAACCTGACTGCATCTCAGGGAGCCCAAGTCCTGGTGCCTGGGCTCTAGGTGGTCTGGGGAAAGTTTGGGTGGGGGTAGGGAGGATGAGGGTTTTATTCCTTCTCAGTTTTGAGGTCAACCATTGGATATGTGCCTGCTACCTCAGCGACCAGGTCCCTGGAAGCTGGATCTGGAGCATTCTGGAGGCTCAGCGCATGCTACAGCTCAGGGACCACACCTTCACTGCGGACCGGCATCAGGAGCTGGTTCTGACACTGGACTCTAGACCTCTTTCGCCACCACCCTGCCCCCGCGTTCAACCGTCCCCGCTTCATGTTTTTTTGCTCAGTTGTCAAGAAGAGACTACTTAGAAGCTGGGTAGTACAGAAAGCCCACGTGCTAGGGGTAGGGGCCCAGGCCACGCGTACCGGACTCGCAGGGCCCCTGGTGAGCCACGGTAAGGTTGGCATCGGGCCGAGCGAGGGCCACCTCCTGCAGGCGGCAGATTTGTGCGTAGGTGCGGCCATCCGAACCGCAGAGGGGATGCTGTGAGCGGCAGGCACACACCGGCTCCGGCACCTCACCACGGCTCAGGTCTCCACCTGTGTCCAAACGACACTCAAGCTGCTCGCCACAGTGCCCATAGAAGTGAGCACTGGGGTCCAGATCGCAGAGCTGCCCCTCGAGGTTGGCGCATTCCCAGCAGCAGCCGCACGTGTCCCGCACCCGGCCTGCCAGGCAGCCCAGTGGCGCAGCGCACTCTTCCGGCTGACAGGGTGCACAACCCTCGCCTTCCACCAGCAGCCGTAGCCAGCTGCGCCGCAGGTAATCCGGGCCTGGGGATGGTCGGGCGCTGATCTGAAGCAGCGACCGCACCAGCAGCAGTAGCAGGGGCAGAGACAGGACAGCTACAGCCGACCGAGGCATTGTTAGCAAGTTTGTGGTCCACTGTGGGGGAGGGGGGGGAGGGTGAGAGGGGAGGAAAGCCAGGTCAGGAGGTCAGAGTGATGCCTGTGCTCAAAGGCTGACTTTACTGCTCCTGTACCAAAACTTAACCCTGGCATTCCCTCTCTTCCTCTCAGTCTGGGCTCCTCCCCTTGCTGTTGTTAAGTGCCCAGAGTCGATTCCGACTCATAGTGAGTAGGTTCCAAGTGTACAGAGTTTCCAAGGAGCGGCTAGTGAGTTTGAATCACTGAACGACCGTGTGGTTCAAACCGACCTTGCTGTCGGATGCTTTATCCCAAAGGGCCACAGCAAGATCCCTCCCCTGCTACCTTGGAATTGAAGTAGACCTTCAATTGATGTGACTCTATTAATGCCATATCATTAGGCCGGGTAGCTATTGAAAGGGATTGGGAGCTGGAGAGAGGGAAAAGGAAGGGTTAATAAAGCTCAGGCACCCTCCCACATACACACACAATTACCACCACCACCACCACCACAATCAAACTCTCAGCAGTGAATGGGAATGGTAGCTTCCAGAAGTACAGCATTGTTCAGGGGAGTGGAAGGCGCATGGGAATAGGAAAATGATACCCCTTGCCCGGGGCCTGGGGTCCAGGGCGCTCACCCAGTATTCAGGACTAGGCCTTTCGGAGCAGCCGCGACTCCTGTCCCAAAAAAGGAGATGGAAAGAAGGCAGAGGCACGCAGAGGGCCAGCCAAAGGATCTCTGAGAGCCCACAGATTTGGGTTTAGAGAGCAGCTCCTCCGCCCCCTGTCCCGCCCATCAACGTCGCACACTGCTCCCCACCCCCCTTGTTCTGAGGTTGCCAATTTTATGCAACCACAGGGGACCCTCCCGACCACTTTCCCCTAGCCTGGTCCAAAGTAAAATTGAGAGCAGAGTAGCTCACAAGTAACCGGACACCAAAACTGGGAGAGGGAGGTCTGCTAGAACTAGAGAAGGGAATGCGGTGGAGGCTTGAAAGAGGTGGCTGGGAAGTGAAGAGTTGGCTGAACGGCCAGGCCCTTTCCCTTATAGACACTGGTGTCTGCTAGAGTAGCAGCATAATGGGGGAGTTGGTTGGTGCCCTAGTGCCCAGTCTTTTTACTTGAATGTCTCACAGCTGCTGGAGGGTAGAACCAATCAACGTCCTCTCCCCGCAGCCCAGGGCCCGCTTCCCAGGAGTGAAGGCTGAGGCTCAGAGATTCAGCCTTACATCTGGCCTCCTCCACCCTCCCCGCATCCGGCAGGTGCTTCAATCCGAGGTTGAACCGGATGATTAGAAGCTGGATCCGACTACAGGCCGCTGGGGAAGGCAGACGGGTGCCCCCACAGCGGGCGTCGCTCCAGGTCAAGGATTATAGGTTATCGCTGCTAGAATGGCAGGGCCGGAGGCACTCTATCCCCGCTGCCACCACCAACGCCAACGTGGCACTTTAGGGTGAAGGCTGGGAAGGGAGCTTTCCTGGAGGCTAGCCCACCCTATCGGGGGTCGGCCAGGCTCCACCCTGGCCTGTCCTAAACTGTCTACAAAAGCTTAACTACAGAAAGGTCTGCCCCGGGTTTGCTTTGGTAAGGGGGCGGTCATTTAACTCAGGCCCCGCCTCCAGCTGTGTGGCCTGTGCAGGAGATGCCCCACCCACCCTGAAGTCCTGGGTGGGGCTCGGGCTTGAGACCGCCCCATAGGAGTAGCTCCGCATGCGTACTAGAGCCCTGGAGAGTCCGCCTCCTAGATGTTACTCGCGACTAACCCTTCGATAGAGCACACCCAAAACTCAACTAAGCCCTGTCACTTAGGGGCGCAGACTCCGCTCCCAGTCAGCGGGGTTCCGAACCCGGTGGGTGAGGCCTAGCACACAGTCACCTCGGTTTCTAAAAGTCAATGGCAGTACGGGATGCGAACTTCACGCGAGGTCTCTTAACTGTCGCGAGAGTCAGAACAGGAAGTTTAGGAAGTCAAAACAAAAAAAGCCCGGGGGGTTTTAAACAGAAAAGAATGGGCGGAGCCACGCGTGTTCTTGTTGTCGTTAAGTGCCGCAGAGTCGGTTCCGACTTATAGCGACCCTGAATAGGGTTTCCAAACAGCGGGTGGTGAGCTTGAGCCGCTGATTTTACAGTTCAAACCGACCTTGCAGCCCAGCCCATTAACCCATAACGCCACACTAGGACTCCTGATTTCATCTTGTTGTTGTTAAGTGCCGTGAGTCGATTCCGACCCATAGCGACCCTGTAGAGGGTTTCCAAGGAGCAGCTGGTGAGCTTGAACCACCGACCTTGCAGTTCAAACGACTTTGCAGTCTGACGCATTAGCCACAGCCCACACCAGGACTTCCCTGGTTTCATAGTTGTGTGTCATTCTTTGTCTTTAAGGGCAATTGAAGTGTCGGTCTAGAGCAGAAGTGAACTATAAGAAACCCTGAGGACACTAAACTAGAAGGTTGTTGTCAAGTTGGTTCAACTCAGCTCTGTTGGAGCCCATTGTTGTAGCGATGTGTCAATTCATCTCACTGAGGGTCTTTCTCTTTTTTGCTGACCTACTTGACCAAGCTTAATGTCTTTCTCTAGGAACTGCTCCAGCATGATAACATATCCAAAGCACGTGAGACAAAGCATTGTCATTCTCACCTCTAAGGAGCATTTTGGATGTACCTCTTCCAAGACATATTTATTCATCCATCTGACAGCCCATGATATGTATATTCGATATTCTTTGCCAAAGTAGAGGGTTTGTTGTTGTTAAGTACTGTCGTCGGTTCTGACTCATAGCGGCGACCCTGTTTAGGGTTTCCTAGGAGCAGCTGGTGAGTTTGAACCGCCGACCTTGCAATTCAAACCGAACTTGTGATCCAGCACATTATTCTACAGCGCCTGTTGTTGTTGTTGTTGTTGTTGTTGTTATGTGCCATGGAGTCGGTTCCGACTCACAGCGACCCTGGACAGGGTTTCTAAGGCTGTTAATCTTTACGGGAGCAGAACGCCTCGTCTTTCTCCCACGGAGCAGCTGGTAGTTTCGAACTGCTGACCTTGCAGTTTGCAGCCCGATTTGTATCCACTACGCTAATTTGGGTGAAGGGAAAGGCAAAATACAATAAGGGGGAGGCCAGCACAAAAGAATTAAGGCAAAGGAAGACATTGGAAGAGGCACAAGAGTTAAAGGCAAGAGAGGTGAATACTAGTACATATACAATCTTGCAATAACAGTAATAACAATAATCTACCAGTGGATACATAGAAACAAGCTAAACAGGTATAGGAAGGCGAATGGGTCTACACTCAAGAATATATAGGTTTGACAGGATGTTTCTACATAATGTATTTAGATGTGCTGCAGATATCCGTGAATACAGTAGAGCATATGGGGGTGAAGTTATGAAAATTTAGCAATAATCAAACACCTTGAGGGAATGAGTCACTAGGTCTGGAGGATTAAGACTGTAGTCTCTCCCCAGGCAACAGCTGAGTCGTGTGGGAAGGGATGCATCTACTGCATCTAACAATTAAGGCAGAACTGAAGTCAATGTTCCGGGAAGTTCTTCCAAAACAAGGGCAACTGTCTGTAGAAGATATAAACACAATGGTGCTATGTAAACCCAAACTTCTGCCCTTAAAATCTCTGACTTTGGAAAAACTGGACAAAATGCAGCAAGCAGCATAGGATATAATTCATCAACAAGAAATGGCAGAAAAGGAAAAACCGCCAATAACCCACTAATGATTTAACACCACCACAAACACCCTACCAAAACACCCCAAGATGGATAAAACCTACATTATGAATTTAAACACTTTGGTTTGCATTGAACACAAGTAATTAAAATGCTTTTATCCCAATTTTATGACTTTTTACCCAAGTCAAGCTTTTGGAATTGACAAAATTATTCAACATTCCTATTGTCGGTTTTACAGATAATATTCACAGAGGTGGCTAAATGCATCTTCTATCTACAAATCTTGCATAAGGTGTTAGTTCGTGTTGTTCTTGTGGTGCTGTGGGCTTAATGCGCTGGACTGAAAAGTCAGTTTGAACCACAAGGTCAGCAGTTCAAGTTCACCAGCCACTCCTCAGAAACCCTATACAGGGTTGTTGTGGGTCGGAACCAACTCGACAGCACTTAACAACAGCAACAACAATAAAAATATATATTTGTATGTATTATTTTCCACCAACTTTTGTCATATTAAAAGGCTGTCTTGCGTAACTGATCCAATCGGTAATGGCAAAACAAGTTTCTCAAAATAAATTTGATGTTTAAAAAAAAAAAGACTGTAGTCTCAGGGGATATCAAAGTCAATAAATAGCACAACATAGTCCCTTAAGAAAATATTCTATATCCTACGTTGGAGAGTATTGAGTGGGGTCTTAAAAACTTGCAAGCAGCCATTTAACTCTTGCAACTCTGTCTCTCCACATCAAAAGCAAAGAAGAGTAAAGAAAACCAAAGACACAAGGAAGCAATTAGTCCAATGGACTAATGGTCCACGTAGATCTCAGCTTCCACGACCCTGAGACTTGAAACCCTAGATGGTGACCACTACATACTGCTCTGAAAGGGATACAATAGAGGTCTTGGATAGAGTGGGTGGAAAATGTGGAACAAATTTCAAAATCCTAACAATGACTGGATAGAGACTGGTGGAACCCCCAAACTATGGCCCTTAGTCACCCTTCAAACCTGGACCTGAACTTGCCCCAATGACTCAACTTTCATTCAAACAGTAGACAGGCCTGCAATATGAACAGTAACACCAGGGAGGTATGCACGCCTTAGAAAAATCAACCATACAGGATCAAAGAACAAAGTTCAGATGGTAGGAAGGGACAGGAAAGGAGGATGAATAGAAATGGTAAAAATAGGGAAGACATGGTAAGAGTGCTAATACACTGTGGGGATCGCAGTCAATGTATAGTCACTGTTAAACAGAAAACAAATTTGCTGTAAACTTTGTAAGCAAAAAAAAAAAAAAAAAAAAATCCTAAGAAG